CACACCTTATGCGGCGGACTTGCCAACCTTATGCAGTTGGATTCTTAGGCGCATTTTTAATTTGAAAGAAGAGCAGTGAGTAAGTTATACTCTAATCAGGAATCCTATTAAAATTGCCACAAGCGAGCAAATGTTCCAAAAATGACGGAGCACCTTGACATCATCAAAAGCCTGATGTCTTGTTTAGATGAATCTACCATCCAACAAGTCCCAAGGGAGAAGAACACGTAGGGAGATGTCCTGGCGGTTCTAGAGTCGTGTATGGCCTTGGAAGTCAATGGAAGCATCATTTTGGTGCATTTGATGAAACCAGCGATTGATGGGATTGAAACATTCAACAAGGTCAAGTTATTTATGGATGAGTCATGGATGTAACCATATTTAGACTATTTAAAGCATGAAACACTATCATTCCGACAAAGGGCGAAACACAAAAAGTGATTTCTAAGGTTAGTAAATTAATTATTATAGATGACATGTTGTTCAAAGTCAAAAGCACAAAAATATCAAAAGTTGTCTTTCACCCGACGAAGCAAACGGAGTTCTTCAAAGTTTTCATGACGGGGGGGGGGGGGGGGGGGCACGGTAAATCAGGCTCTTCTAAAAGTCATGATTACAAAATCTGGGAAACAATAGACCAAAGGAACGACTCGTCACACCATGACAAAATAGACCGTACGAGATGATTCAAATCGTTGGACCAAGACATATTGCTTGAAAGTTCAAGACGACGAACAGGTTTTGAAAAACTGGAATGTGGTACATTTACATTTGTTTCATTCTTAAATTACTACTTTCCTCTACATATAAATGATCACTAACTTAAGCATCCGAGGGTCATAGGCTTCTAGTCAATGTCCAGCTTTGGCAAATTCTTTTTGCACGGGAATAGTCAACAATAACAATGATGACGTCCTGACACACATCAAAACATAAACGACGGGGCTTACATAATTAAAAGCCTTAGAGAAACGCGAAAACATAAATGACATGGCTTACAAGGCAAGAAGTGTGTTTTCATATCTTATAAAGATGAGTGCAAACACCATCTACTCTCTACAAAAGTCGTACAGTCTCATCAAAACATAAATGACAGAGCTTACAAAAGTCTTACAGAAACGTCAAAACATAAATGACAGGACTTACATAAGCCTTACGAAAAAGTCAAGACATAAATGACGGAGCTTACATAATGGTTATAAGCGAAAAAGTGGGGTTTTCATGTCTTCTTAACATGTGTTTAAACATAACTGGTTCTCTGCAAAAGCACACAAAACTATAGAAAAACTATACAGAAAAACACATTACAGAAAGTTAAGCTTTTAAAGCACAACACAAAATAACGAGAAACTTTAAAATAGAAGGAGATGAGGCCACACGAATAACATTGACACGAACCTTAAACGTTCATGTTTAAGCTGAAAATATAACTAAAATGCAAATGGAATATTGTTCGAAGTTTTTGCAGGACATCGGATACAGTCATGGATTCAGACTCCAACGAGGGATGGAGTCACCCTTGCCAACCAAAACGTCAACATCAACATGGATGAAATTACAACTTATTGCTTACGGTCATTAGCAAAATAATATTGTTCTAGTCAAAGAGACGGATTCCATCAGAAGCAACTTGCGAGAAAGGTAACAACGGAGTTCCATCATATCATACGGATGACAGATTGATAGGCGTGTTTCATCAGAGGGATGACGGATTGACGGGCGTGTTTTGTCAGATGGGCGACAGATCTACGAGCGCAATAATCAAAGATGTGAAGTACAAGTTCTCTAGAAATTTTGAAAAGTTGCTACTTAACGGCTCAACATGTAGACCCATACGCCTCAACATCTCGAAAGAGGACAATTGTTGGAACAAATATTTGACGGTTTGATTATATATTTATGGAAATTGATCATGGATATTAATGGTACATTAATAAGACATAATGTTGGCCATTATTAAGTCGTTTTTATGTATTAATACGATCATTAATGTAATTAAGGAGATCGTTAATTAGAGCTGACCAGTCCTTATGAGGGTTTGAAACTGTCACAACAGACCGTCGTCAATAACGGACGAAATGCCCAGGGGGCATTAATTACTTTTCACTTTTCCTGTAAATAAGAGTGAATTTTTCAAAAACAAAATAGAAGTGAACCCCATTGTAAACCCAATTGATTCCTACTCGAATAATACACAATTCTACGTACTCTTGATTTCTGGCATGATTAGCTTACTTCTTGATTTTCTTATTGTTCATGTACAAAACTCGTTCAATACACATATTTCTTTCGATTACTTTTAGACCTTTAGCTTACGAAAAAAATGCTTAAACAGCGCCCCAACTTTTCATATAAATTTTGCCGACCACGTTACCAAGTTTTGACCCATAGATTATCATGTGCGTGCATTTAATACGTTCAACATCTATGACTAGTATAAATACCCTTTGAGGTAGATGTAATGCAACAACAAAATGTTGAGTGTTTTGACGTTTTCAGGTGCATTTACAGGTTCCAAGCATGTTTGTTGTACCAATTGTTTTCAAAACATTATTAGAGATTTGGTAAGTTGACTACTAGAGGATTGTGCAATTTGAGCAAACTGTTTCCTTTTGAATTATTAGGGTGGAGTCATTTTATTTGGGCTATATTTTTAACTATCAATGCTTGCTCTTTAAATTTACAAAAATGATGTTTGTACTCACTCTTATATCCACTTTTATACCCACCCATATTTGTGAAGGTTTTTTTCCTCTGTGAGTTTCGTTCACAGACAATATTTTGTTTGTAAAAAAATTGCACAGACAAAGTAACACATATTTTGTCTGTGAACCGGATTCACAGACAAAAAACTCTTCACAAACATGGGTGGGTATAATGTGGGTATAAGGGTGAGTACATCAAGTTGTTGGAGAATGTGTAGTTCCTATAAAGTAACAATAAACAATTTCATCATCTAAAGTTCAAATTAGGGTAAGAAGTTTAAAAATCATCCATTGTGGATGTAGAAACATTGGTAAGAGTGAGATTACCACATATGTTAAGAAGATACTGGTCAGTTATATGTTTCGTTTCTTGGCCTTCATAATTCAAAAGAACGTTGAACAAGATGGAGATGTATCGTTCCAGAGAACTGGACATGTTGGATCAAATGGAAGAGTGTGTTAGGTTTTTCATGTGATCAAGGTATGTCGACTAGACTAAATGATAAATTTTATCACGCGCAAATTAGTCTTGCACTACTATATGGCATAGAGTGTTGGGTGGTGAAACAATGTCACATTTAAAAGTTGAGTGGCGGAGATGCGCATGTGTTGGATGTGTTGACATACCATAAAAGTCTGCTTGAGAAATGAGACAATTAGATATAAGGTGGGAGTAGCACCTATAGAATATAAGGGAGTTTTGATGGTTGTAGTTTGAATATGTATATAAAAGACCGAGTGATGCACATGCTATACGAGTTGAGAGGTCTGGAGAAGAGGCAAGGAATCGAGGGAGAGGAAGACTCAAACAAATGGGGCTAAGAAGAGTCAGAAGTGATATGTTTCTTCTAGCTTGGAGTGAATGAGAATATGCATGACTTTGGAGAGAGCAAAGTGAAGGATGAATAACTATGTGGAGCATTAATCACTTTTCATTGTTTTCTATTCTTTTATCTTTTTTATGTTCTTTAATTATCTTTTTATCATTTTCATTTTATACTTCCTGTATCTCATTAAATTATATTCTTCCCATTTATCATCTTGGGATGATGTCCCAAAAATTTCTTCCGTTTTTCCTTTTTCGACAGTATTTTGTGGCTAACATTCATTTATCATTTTCTTACTCAACCACAATCATACATTTTCAATTTATTCACACTTTCTTAAACTCTGATTCAAATCGAATTTGGAAGAATTTTATGAGACGGAGAGTATATATTCTTTAATTTTTATCCTTTTTATCTTATACTTCGTACGAAGTACTTTGTTTATCATATCTTATCTTTTGATTTTTCTTTTCTTTTTCGTTTGCTACATCATGTATCGATTCATGTTAGACGATACCAAATTAATTTTTTGGAGGGTTAAAGTTTGGAATTTGTTGTTAATATAAAGGTGTTTTCTTTTGGACTATTATCAGTCTCAGACAGACCAGATCAGATAAGATCAGATCAGACCAGACTTAATCAGACCAAATCAGCTAGACTTTGACATTTATAAAATACACATAGACCAGACGTACATTTATCAGACCAGACTAGACCAGACCAGACCAGACCAGCAAATTACAAGCCAAAAGATAACATATTAGGTGCGTTGTTTGAGCCTTTGAGTAAAATAGTGAGATAAGGATTGAAATTTGCCGGCTTAGTCTGGTCTGAACTAGTAAATGTCTAATGTCTATATATTTTGTAACTATGGACATCTAGTTTGATTTGATCTGATCTGGAGACCAAAAATAGTGCAACTGTCCAAAGGAAAAACATCCTTAGTACTTCCTCTGTTCTTAAATAAATGCAAAGGTCAACATTTCCCACTTTCCGAGACACAACTTTGACCATTAATATAAATGATTTTGTATTAGTAAAAAAATTAAAAAAATTAGATTATGAAAATTTACAATGAGACAAGTATAACAATATATTTTTCATAAAATAATATTATAACATTAATAAATAAAACATAGTCAAAATAGAATATGCGAATAATGTAAAAGTGAAAGTGTTCATTTATTTAAGATGGGAGGTAGTACTTCCTATATACATCCTATACGAAGTACTTCGTAGTATCGATGCAGGGCGGGCAAATTTTACGTAGTGACTAGTGAGCATTGATTCTCATGTCTCCGACATACGCGCAACACGAATGCATGCATCGACTCTTTTTTGGATTTATTAGTATTTCTGGATAAACAAAGACCCGCGCCGGCCTACGTAATCCGGCTTGATTCCCCGCGTCCCCTGCACCTTCAATTCGATCCCTATAAATCATTACCATCGCCCACCTAGCCTAGCAGCTAATTAATCATAACACAACTCCGGTCCTAACCTCCGCCGCCGCCGCAACCATATATATTTACACGTACTCGTTCGTTCAATTCATTCATCAACCGGCCGCCATGGATTATCGAACCCTTTCCAGGCAGCCGTCCACGAGAAACACGAGCACCCAGCAGCCGGTCAGGAACGCGGGGCTGCCTCCCCATCCGCCGCAGTCGGCGTCGACGTCGTCGAGCCACCCGGCGGATATATTCGGGAACATGGTGAAGGAGATAGCGGCAAAGAAGGCGGTGGTGATATTCACGAAGACCACGTGCTGCATGTGCCACAGCATCAAGGTGCTGTTCGTGGACATGGGGGTGAACGTGCACGAGCACGAGCTGGACCTCCACGAGTTCGGGCAGGAACTGGAGTGGGCTTTGAAGAACATGGGCTGTAGCCCCACCGTGCCCGCCGTCTTCATCGGCGGCAAGCTCGTCGGCACCGCAACCGAGGTCATAAACCTTCAAATTTCCGGCGATCTCAAGCAAATGCTCAAGGATGCCAAAGCTATTTGGCTCTGACTTATTATTACATACAGTAGTACGTGTTGTTATTATTAAGTGTACAACTACTTGAGGAACGTACCGTACTATGTGACCATGCATGATACCAAAAACTAATTAAATTAACATTAATAATTGTGTCATGTCAAGTAGCTAGCTTATAAGCTTATAAGCTTGTAGCAGCTTATATTGGATATATGTGGCTGGCCGGACATGATTAAACAACTTTCTTCCATTTTCAATTCCTAGCTACTTTGTTTTATAAATGTAGTGTTTTACTCTTTTGTGGGTTTTTATGAATATACTACGTATTAGAAATTGATTAATATTGACTAGAAGATACACAAAGTTCTAAAATAGAAGCAATGTTAATGTTTTCTTCCACAAATAGGCCTTGCTAATTAATAAATCCTATTAAAAGAATAAGATGCTTGACTAAAACTTCTTAAAATTAAATACGAGTGAGTGAATGAGTCATATTTTAGAAATAAAACAAGCGGGGTTGGCCCTAGGGGGAGGGCAGCAGGGGCGACCACCCTAGGCCCGTAAAAAGGTAGAAAGAAGATTAGGCCCAATTTTTTTTGTTATATGTAATGTGAGTAGATTTCTTTTTTATTTATAAATTCAAATAATTAATTAGGCCTAATGTGTGATTTTTGTTAACAATGTGAAAATTTTAAAACATAAGTAAAAAGTCTTGTTCAGAGCCAGAAAAGTTTTATAAAAGAATATACATTTAATTTTTAAAATTTAAGCAAAACTTGTTGTAAGTCAACACATTTGTTGCTGAATCAATAAAAGCATGTCTATTCACATTGTTTTAGTCTTTAAGGATTTTTATCCCTTTTAATTATGAAATTACCAATTTATACTACTTCGTATTATCTTTGAGCTGCCAACACCTCACAATTCCCAAACCTCATCCTAATTATCGGCAATCGACTATGTCTAAAAAACTTAATGGATTAGCAATTTTAAGCATTGAGCATGAGACCTTGGAAAAGATTGATTATAAAGCAATTATTGATGATTTCACTTCACAATGTTCTTTTGTGATATTGGTTTGTTGTTAATTACTTTTGTCCAAATATGTAATTAAAATAATATTAAAGTGAAATTCATCTTTATTCTATAACCTTTATTTGATAGTTGGTAGAACTTCTGAAATATAGAAGTAAAAATGTTTGAGAATTTCAAAATAGGGCCGGCATTCATGTTTTTATTCTCTAAATAGGAGTAATTGCTGCCAAGTTTGAAAAATATTGCCATATTAAAGTCTCATATTGCTAAAAATGACGGTAATTACTCCTATATGGAGAATAAAAATATGATAGTCTTATTTTGAAATATATAAATTTTTTTAGTCATATATAGGGTAATTTCTCATAGTTTTATTATACATCGTAATTCTTATTTTAAGTAAGTATAAATGTATAATATACTATTTGTCTTGAAAATAAGGCCACGTTAGTATATCGTCTATAGGCCCAAAACTGAACAAGACTGGCTCTGAAAACAAGAGTAATACTGTTTATGGACTTTATCCATGTTTTAGTAGGAAGCTTTCTTTATATATGTATCGTGTGGTCAATGTCCATTTGGAATTCAAACCAAGGAAATTACGCTAATGTAAATAAATGAAAATGAAAATACTGCATGGAATAAGTTCCTAATTTGACTTTCAAAGAGTACGTTAGAGAAAAACATATTTCTCCATTGACAAATTAGGATGGAGAAAGATGCTTCAAATTTGGATTTTGGCCCCATTTGGTTTATTGCTCTATTTTCTTTCCACCTTTACTTATGTCCTTTTAGACTTTTTACTATGTTTTTTGTTTTGCTTGTGGTAGTGGTATTTTTGGGGTGCTTATGGGCGATATTTGCCTCAAATCCCCCGTATGTTCAGTGAAAAGTTTTGTTCAATCTATTTTGGGTGAATTTTTTTGTCTGATTAAAGGCCTCAAAGAACTCTTTGGCTATTTTGACCTTGTTGAAGTGGTAAAGAGAACGGTGACCTTAAGGGTCAGAAAGAACTTTATGTTGTCCTTTTGGTGGTCAGCGATTCGTGTTGCTTCTTTGGAGGTATTGTTTCTGAGTCTGATCGTTGGGCTTTTCTTGAATTTAGATGGAATCTATTAGAAAATGGTTTGCGGATCTTTATAAGTTTTTGACTGATTGTAAATCTAAATTATTTGGTTAAGTTAATATAATTTGGCATTTTCTTTGAGAAAAATAGTGTAGATTGATAATATTCTTTTTACCAAATAAATATGGACAAAGGGACTATAATGAAATTATTGTTCGAGGCGAAAATAGATCAAGGGAAATAAACATGGTCATTGAACTAGCATACCCATACCATCTGGATGCATAACTATAAATTGATCTTGTGTAATTTTATTGAAGAAAATGGTCTTAGTAGGAGTAAAATATACCTAAACGGTATACAAATAGGAGTAGATATAATTTTTTTTCCTTAAATAAGATTTATTTGGTTCTATAAAAGCATAAATGTCTCGAATTGAGGGTGTGTTTTGCAATCAAGCTGGTTAATTAGCGGTAGGCCTGGACTCGGGCCGGGTCGGGTCCGGGTCGGGCCGAGGCCCAGGCGGGCCGGTGGTTCAAAATTGGTGGACCCAGGACTGGCCCGGGTTGCCACCGAGTCCGGGCCGGGCCTCCGGTTTGGTTTTTTTTTTGCTTTCCTAACCCCCCCCCCCACCCCCACCCCAAACCCCCCAAACCCCCCAAACCCCTCCTAACCATCAAGCCCAACCCGGGTGGAACCCCAAAAAATGAAGGAAAAAAATCGATTTGACCGGCCGGGCCGGTTCGCCAAATGTAAGACCCGAGCCCGGACCCCCCCCCCCCCGGACCCGGACCCGAGAACCGGGCCGGTCCACGGGCCGGGTGGCCCTACCCGAATCCACCCCTAATCAGCGGTAAACATCTAGCAGATTATGTTAGCAGATTGTAGATAGAGGATTTAGTCAACAAAATTAAAAATATGTTTGGTAATTTAATAGGTAATAATGCCCTATTTCAAAGCGTTAAACTCAAAAATGGTAGGGCCAAATAGTGATTTTCCAAACAAAATGAATTAGCATTTTCTATGATTGAAAATGCTAAAAAATGTCAAATTGCTTTTTTCTTATATACTACCTATGAATTAGCATTCTCTGGATTACCTCTGTCCCAAACATGGACAAAGGGGAGTGACACAACTTTTAAGAAAAAGTGGAATTGTGTCATTGGTATTGGATTGATAAAGTGTGAATAAAGTAAGAATAAATTTTAACCACCCAAATATTATCAAATATGGTATGGGACAAACATAATGGGACGGACGAAAAAGGTAAAACGGGACAAAATTATGAGGACGGAGGGAGTATTTTCCAAATACACCTTAAGAGTGGATGATTCTATTTTAGAAATAAAACATACGGACTAGTTACTTATATGGGGTTTTCCCTTAATATTACCAAATTAAAGCTAATTTCTAAAAAAGTGACTACATTTACATTTGAATTAATTCCATTTTTGGTCCTACGAGTTTTGTGTCAATTCCACCTTTAGTCCACGTCTTTCACTTTGTCCACTTTTGATACTTGACTAATGTTTTTTAACCGTTTGTGGTCCTTTTCCGGCGATTTTAACCATCAGAAGCAATGTCGGAAGGACCATGTATGGGCGAAAATACAATAGTCATGTATCAAAAACGGACAAAATGACAGATGTGGACTAAATGTGGAATTGATTTAAAACTCGTAGGACCAAAAGTGGAATTTATTCATTACATTTGGACAAAAATGTGACTAATGCACAGTGACATCTCTGCAGTGACATTTCCGTAGCTAATCTACGCATGACATCTCCGTCGTTCACCGACCACAGTGACGCCTCCACAGTGACATCTTCGCCGCCATCACACGTGTCACTAAGGATGTTTTCTTTTGGACTAAAATTTGTTGGTCTGGTCTGGTCTTATCTGGTCCGGTCTGGTCTGGTAAACGTCTGGTCCGGTCTGGTCTGGTAAACGTCTGGTCCCTGTGTATTTTATAACTACGGAAGTTTGGTCTGACCTGGTCTGGTCTGGGGCTGAAAACAGTCCAAAAGAAAACATCCTAAAGCCATTGCTACCGCCGCCGGTCGCCACCCGCTGCCGGCCACAATGACACATCCGCAGTGACAACTCGTAGTGACATCTCTACCCAACCTCTAGCCACAGTGACATCTTCGCCGCCCGACCACCGCTGCCGCTAGCCACAGTGACACCAGCCCCAGTTACACTGGACGCGGTGACATTGGTCCCGACCACAGTGACATGACTTTGGACAATGACTCCACCACAGTGACCTGTCACCGCCGGTCACCACCACCGATGACTATTGCACCACCTGTCACCGCCAAACCGCCTGTCGAGTAAGCACCATCTGTAGCCCCAAACCAGACCCCAACCAGACCCATCCCCCAAGCCAGGTCCTAACCAGACCTAGCCCCTAAACCAGACCCCAAGCAGACCAAGACCCTAGCCGCAGGCACAATCAAAGACCAGCCCCAGGCGTCGTCAAAACTCCCGGCCAACCCCATCTCCAACCTTAGCAGTCGCGACATTTTGAATCGGCGTCACAGAACGACGGAGAAGTAGCCGTGATTGAACGCCGTCGTAATCAATCGAAGTCGTCAGTGGAGCATTTCGTCTTCCATCGGCGCGACACAGAAGGAGATGAAAAAGAAGGCTGGCGACGGACTTCAGTGGTAACAATGTGCTTTCGGATCCACGAGCGTTTCGGATCCATTGCGATCTATCGGAGCGACTCGACGACGGAGCGACGCGAGCTATAGGAGGAGAGCAGCTGCGACCTTGGAGAGCGATGAAGATGGCGGAACTTGAAGATGAAGGAGCTGCTCCAGATCGATCGCCGCTTGCTCTCCAAATGAAGATGGCCGGTCTTGAAGCGATTGCAGAGATGGGAACGACTTAGGATGTTTTTACTTGGACTGTAATTTGTCCGGGACTAGACCAGACCAGACCAGATCAGAACAGACTTGGATAGTTATAAAAATACAAAGAAATCAGACCAGACCAGTTCAGACCAGACCAGATTAGAGCAGACCAACAAGTTACAGTCCAAGTAGAAACATCCATAGGGCCTGTGGGATATTTTTTAGATTTGATATTAGTTTAGTTATATTTTTGAAAAAAAATGAATAGGCATTTTTTTGTATTTGACAAACCTATAGGTAATATT